GCTACAGCAAAAATACAAGTCCTATTCCAGCGAAGAAAAAAAAGTCCTGACGAGCAATTTTAAATTTTTTTTTTTATTAAAAAAAAGAAAATTTCGCTACAGCAAAAATACAAGTCCCTTTGCAGCAAAAAAATACAAGTCCTGACGGGCAAAAACTTAATTAAAATTTTGCAATTCGTGCATAGACATAACCATAAAAATATTAGAAAAAAAAAAAATTTCGCTACAGCAAAGAAAAACGTCTCATTGCAGCGTAAAAATACAAGTCCTTACGTGCAAAAACTCAATTAGAATTTCGCAAATCGTGCATAGACATAGACATAAAAATTTTCGAGATATCTTGAAATTAAATTTTTTTTTTCTATTAAAAAAAAGAAAGTTTTGCTACAGCAAAATACAAGTCCCTTTGCGGCGAAAAAATACAAGTCCTGACGGGCAAAAACTCAATTAGAATTTCGCAAATCGTGCATAGACATAGACATAAAAATTTTCGAGATATCTTGAAATTAAATTTTTTGTTTCTATTAAAAAAAAGAAAGTTTTGCTACAGCAAAATACAAGTCCCTTCGCGGCGAAAAAATACAAGTCCTGACATGCAAACACTCAATTCCAAAATTCGAAATTCGTGCATTAGAATAAACATAAAAATAATCAAGATATCTTGAAATTCAATTTTTTTTTTTTATNTTTGTTGGCTCTGACAGTTACTTTTTCTTCTGAGTTGTTTGCTTAAACTTTTTAATGGAATATTATTATGTCATTGGTAAAACTTTAAAGTGCGAAAAATCAGCTGATGATTTGGCATCAGAAATCAGCTGATTAATCAGCTGACAAATCAGCTGATTTTTTCCAGCAGTGCATTGTGTATCCCGTATAACATTTATTGTCTCTTTAATGAATTTCTGGCGATCTATAACAGTCATAGTAAAAAATATCAATTTTAAACAATTTTTTTGGTAATTAGTCAACTTTGAGGGTTGTTTTCACCTCCTTGAAGGGGATGTTTGGAATCCAGACCACTTTTCCTATATTCTGTGCTAAATAAGCTGTTAGATAAAAAAAAAGACCATTAAGATTGGTTAATTCGTCTTGGAGATATTTTATTTCCGGAAAAAAACCGTTATGTCCCACTGTGCAATACAGCCTAGGTGTGCCTAGCGACACATAATGGCCAAGTATGGTACTGAGATTACCAGATGGTTGGAATGAAATCATCATTTTAAAAACCACTTTAAAATAACAAAAAGACAAAATAAAAGGTTTTAACAGGAGAAGAAAGTATTTTTAAGTGCTTGAGTTTAAAATAATGTAGAGATAGTTTTTTCGGTTGTCTCATGATTACATTAAAAGAAAACAACGAATAAACCTGCACTAGTTAGTTTATGTTTTCATAAACAGTAGCGTCAGAAACGATTACTGACAGTCACTGACCGTTTTACAGAACTGTAGCTCCATGGCAGCTCCAAATGTTTACGAAAACGTAACCTATCGAGTGCAGGTTTATTCGTTGTTTTCTTTTAATATAACCATGAGATAATCCAAAAAACTAACTCTACATTGTTAATTTAAACTCATGAACTTGAAAACACTTTTTTCTCCTGTCAAAGCTTCTTATTTTGTCTTTTTGTTATTTTTAAGTGGTTTGTAAAATGATGATTTCATTCAAATCACCTGGTTGTCTCAGACCTCAGTACCATATTTGGCCACTATGTCACTTGGCACAGTAGGCACACTTAACAAGGCGAACTCCGAACTGACACTTTGGTACCTAACTGCCTAAGCCTATAACTATAGATGACGAGCCTACTACGTAGTACCCAAGACCATAGACATATAGACTGCTAGTTCTTATGTACGGCGCTGAAACAGAAGTTGGAGACATAACAACATCGAACGCATCTGTCTCTCTCGCACCTTACGCAATGGGCGCGAGAGAGATATCCACGTTCGATGTTGTGTCTCATTCTACTTGTGCTTCAGCTTCAGCGCTGCACACAAGAATGAGCAGTCTACATTTCTTACGTGTCTATGCCCAGGACTATTTAGAGATGATAGAGGTGCCATCTAAATCCTCATATTCTATGACTGTGAGCCAAGGTGGGCTGCATCTGCCAATAACTTTTTCGTAAGTACTGTTCGTTTTCATTTTAATTTCTCGTTACAAATATTTACATGCAGTACAAAAAGTATATTACTTACATGGACAATTTTATAAAGACAAAAAAATATTTTTAAGTTACTGCCCATATTACAAGATGTCCAGATTAGGAGCAAACGTACCACACAAAGCGGCTAGATACATTGGCGCAGCAGCGGCTGCTCTTTCTTGTGTCTCACTTCTTGAAATAATACCTCATACTTTGTGCATTGAAAGGTATAAGAAGTTTCTTGCCAAGTACAAGTATGTGACTTTGTTATATTATAAGTAATTACGTATACACTTAATGCTCATATCAATAGCTGTTACGTTCATTTAGACGTGGAGAAGAGGTACCAGTACATGAAAATACAAAGAAGCTGTTCAGTGAAGTTTTGGATGATTTAAAAGTTAAGCCCAAGTACAAAGAACTTTATGAACCTTTCATCATAACAGGCTTTGATACGTACAATGCAGGAATCGCTACGAACAGGTGTAAAGTAATTATTGGTATTCCTAGTTATTTCATTTACAAAAACAAAAGTTTAGTTGATGTAATGGATATTCGAATTGGTTCTAATCGAGCACTTCTCAATCCTTATGACCCAACTACAGAAAATCTTGTTGAATCGCTTGTGCTTTCAGAGAAGGCCAAAAAGTATGGTATTGCTCGTGAAGTTCTGATGAGTCAGTGGAATTTGCCTTTATATCGTGTACTTGAATCTCCAACAATAATCACCTGCTCAATTATCATATCAGATGTGATGCAAAAACGATATCAAATATTTCAGAAACCATTAATTGTTGCGGTTTTTGCTTATTTTGGTTTAGGTTTGATGAGTTTTGCAACGTGGTTTCAAATACGAGATGCATTAAATAACTATTTTGAGAAAAGTGTGGATGAGCAGTTGGCAAAGCTAGGTCGAGATTATGTAGAAGGTGGAAAGGAGTTTTATGAAAAGCTGTTAAAAAGAAATGTTGCAGTCAGAAAGTTACTTGGACCACATGGAAAAAAACGGTATAATCAATTAGGTGATGAAATTCGTTTTATTCGTCATAAAAAAACACCGCTTACAGAAAGAAAAAAATTCTTTGAAGATTACAAAGTTCCTGAAACACTAATTCAAGGTGAACGATTGACTGCATAGATTGCAGTCTAGGGATCCGTTATCAAAATGTTTTTATTAGTTGTTAAATATCACGTGTGTGTGCACCTATGTATGAATTCCCAAATAAAACAATTAAACCATTTTGTACCGTTATTACTAGCTTAATACTTTTACAAATAAAATAATTTCTAAGTTAATGTTAAAACATAGGCCCACGAAGCGGAAAGAGTTATATGGTACGGCTCCAGAGGAAAAAATAATGGAGCAAACGCATAGCGGCGATGGAAGTGCCCCCCCTTTTTTGAATCTATGTGATTGGCTCATCTTCTCCTTAGGAGGTTTTGGTGACTCCAGTTTGGCTGCTTATTAGCAGCGTAATCCGAACGGCCATTAACGAAACTGATCACAACGTCTCGCTACTGCTTTACTCTCGCTAGTCCGCGCCCAGCGGGAAGGATCTTGGCGCCCTCCGCCGTGACTCCCGGAGTGACAGTCCAGTGATGTGGATTGACCGGTCAGAAAAATTTGCCCGACGTCATGGTCATTTTGACCGTCAATTGACGATCATTGACTGTCAGGAATTACTGCCTTTGTATGTGGAAATGACCGTCAGAGATTTTTCTGACTGGTCATTGGTCAGAAAATTAAAAAAAAATTTAAAGATAGGCAACTAAAATCATTTAATGTTTACTTTAAATTAGTTTTTTATTGAAACTATTTAAATGTACAGAAACAATTTTTACAATTTAATGACTTAGTCATAATACTTTTTNCCTTTGCATAAACATACGTATAATATTTTATGATAGCGCACAACTTTGAACGTTGTGCACTTGGCTCTTTAGATTTATAAAGGGACATAGATAGAGGGTAAAGAAAATGCCCACTCTAGACTTAAAAGGATGCTGTCCTGTGGATGAGGACTGTATTCATAAAAAGCCTATCCCAGAGCCACATAGAGTATTTGCCAGACTAGATATATGATGTCCATGGATTATACAGACACGAGAACTGAGCTCATACACACATCCCGCTTACATTGTCACAACAATGAAGAGAAAGCTGATGATAGAAAGATGTAACGTTTCTTTCTATTCACAATAGACTGCAATAAATTTTGATTTGATAGATTTATATAGAGCAGAGGAGAAGGGTAAATTTAATATTTCGTTTGCAATTTTACTTATTGATGTAGTTCTACAAACGCTTTGCCACCACAAGTTTGTACGGAGTGATTTTAATGAATCTTGTACTAACTGACTATCCCAAAGCCCTGAGTTAGTTCTGAATTCTGCCAATTCGCGCATTACAGTAGGAACATCTAAATTTAATTTTCTTGCTACATCCAAAATTAAGGCTTGCCCATTCAAATCTTCCTCTTGGCTTAAATTTTTGCCTTTGAGATTCGGATCGAGCAAATTAGCAGCAAAATGAATAGGTCTTAATGCCATTTCAGAATGCTTTTTCAATTTTTCAGTCATATGAGTTATTTCTTGTTCACTCAAAAGTGGAAATGGCACTTCAGTGCTTTGTTTTTCAAAGTGAACTTCAAGCTCATGGAAAATTTGGGCAACTTCACTTAGTTTTGACGTATCTGATTGCACTTTCATGATATAAATAACTATTGGTTTTACATAATTTTTTAATTTATCTATTGCGCTCCAGAACGATTCATCTAAAATTAACAATTTTGTTATAGGTTTTAAAACAGCTCTCGGTTCGATGGAGATTTGTTTTAAATTTTGTTTATTAAAATGTAGACTTTCTAAACATTGTAAAGACGAGCCCCACCGCGTTATGCCAAAAAGTTTTAGAGAAATTTGAGAAGATATTCCACTTTTTGGGTTTGTTTTGTTTTGTTTTTGAATTTCTAAAATTAGTGAGCTTAAAACATGCGATTTTTTTATCTCTTTTACTATCGATACAGCCAAATTAATAATTTTTTTAGCATTCGGCTGTTCAAGTAAATCTTTAACTAAAAGATGTAAAATGTGTGCAAGACAGCCATAAAAAAAGATCGCTTTATTTTTGTACTCCTGTTCTAGTAGAGACCACGCTGCTTGCATTTTTTTCTCGTTGTCTGTGACAATACCCAAAACTTTCTTTATTCCGATCGACTCGATAACGGTAGAAATTTCGCGTGTTATGTAATCCGCTGTTTGTCGATGGGCTTTACTCTCAATCGTTTTAAAAAAGACAGGCTCGAGAGTGGTAACTACAAAATTTATAATGCCCTCGTTGCGAATATTCGACCAACCATCTGTTTTCAAGCCAACTGTCAAAGCCATTGAGATGTTTTTGTTAACGTCAGTTTCAATTTCACGGTATACTGTATCAAGTAGAGAATGAGATAGTTGGTATCGCGATGGAAGGTTAAATGAAGGCCTGAGCTTCGCAAATAATTCCTGCCAATATATATTTTCCGTCAGTTGAAGCGGGACGCCCAACGCGTATATTGCTTTAGCAAGTAATTCGTGACATGCTTTCATATCATCGGGTAACATAAAATCAAAATATTTCCGGATACCTGACGAAGAATTGGCTACAACTGCGAGTTGACTTGAACTTGCTGTATGCGAAGAAATATCACTTAAAACCTCCGATGGCGTCGAACTAGCCGATGCTTTGGCTCTGTGAGTTTCTGGCTCATCTAAAAATAAAAGATTTAAGAAAACAAAAAATTTATTAAACATATATGTATCAATACATGCATGGAATAATATAAATAAATAATCAAGTACCGCTTTCTTCGCCCAAGGAGCAATCTAATTGAGAAATTAAGGAAACATTCCTCTTCAGGTTGACTTTGACGCCCCGTTTTTGTTGCAAATCTTGCTTCACATTTAGCGGGCATTTCTTGCAATTTTTCGCGAGGTGCTTTTCCATTCGCGTGACATGTTCAGCATAATGTATTTTGCAATAATTGCACGAGTAGGATTAAATTTTTAGGTTTGGTTCACGAGGCAAAGGAGTGAAATGTTTTTCAAGAACTTTTGAAATCCCCATAATCTGAAATCGTTCAATTTCATTTGATTACATTATTTCAGAATGTAGGTTATGATTCCTCAATTTCCGAGATTTTTAATTGATACTACTCAATTTCAGTTCGACTTAAAATTAAAATAAGCTCACCTTAATTTATGCACAACTGTAGCTTAAAATCACATGGGCGTAAATACAAAGCATGCAAATATCTTCTCAGTTGTCAAACCAGGCTCGAGACGAAAGCGCGAAAGAGCGAAAGCGTAAGCGACAAAGCGACTGATGAAATACATATGTGAATTAACCTACCTGATTTTTTTGGACAAGTAACAGTAGCTTCTTCTTTTTCTCAACAGATGGTACCGGAACAAAAAAAAACTAAAAATATTCTTCACTCTCTATAAAGATGTAGGTTTGACGGTCATGAAAAATTTTGACCGGTCATGGTCAATTGTCGTTGACTGACAATTTTTTTTTGTCAGGTCAGAGTCATGACCGTCAATTGACCAGCTCACATCACTGGTCATGGCCCATAAAAGGCTATGTTATTCTTATGAGTAAGTATCGCCGTTTATACCCGTGCAGATGGTGCTGGTTCAGATTGCTGCACGGAGCAAATTGCAGCATTATATTTACGTTTTTTTGCTTAAAATCTCGAGGTTATGATTAAAAATATTATTTCCTAGAATATTTACGATCTTCAATGGTTTTAGAAAATAATAATAGATTAATATTAAATTAAAACTAAGAAGTTAAGGGCGCCTAGTAAAAGTAGTTAGTCGGATAATCAAAAATCAAAAAGAAAACCTTTTCAAAATGTTGAAAAAAACAAAGTCATAATCGATATCTATCATAATCTATCATAATTCGAAGCAAGAGGAGTTGGTGCGCCAACCAAATACTTGTACATCTTTCTTGATTCAACCCAAAAAATATTAGATTGATTAACCTCTGCATACGTGTTAACACTGGGACCTCTAACTATGCAACTCACTGATGGTACTATATTATAAAGCAATAATTTGTTTTAAACTTTAAATAGAACTTAAAAAAATAAATACGGACTGCAATTAAGACTCAACTAATGCATCATTATCTGTTATCATTAAAGAAGTTGAACGCAGCGTTAAAAATAAATAATGATACGTACACATATGCAATTTTTAAATGTTATTCCTAAATGGCTAATTATTTTATGAACTGCACAGATTTCGAGAAAAATCGATCGACGTCATTTTGGTTGGCCTGAAACTTTTTTACACGTGCTACATTGAAAACAAGGATATACGTATACATGGGTTTCCGTTTTTTTTTTTTTTTTTGTTTTTTTTTTATAACTGATTATCCCAAAGCCCTGAGTTAGTTCTGAATTCTGCCAATTCGCGCATTACAGTTAGGAACATCTAAATTTAATTTTCTTGCTACATCCAAAATTAAGGCTTGCCCATTCAAATCTTCCTCTTGGCTTAAATTTTTGCCTTTGAGATTCGGATCGAGCAAATTAGCAGCAAAATGAATAGGTCTTAATGCCATTTCAGAATGCTTTTTCAATTTTTCAGTCATATGAGTTATTTCTTGTTCACTCAAAAGTGGAAATGGCACTTCAGTGCTTTGTTTTTCAAAGTGAACTTCAAGCTCATGGAAAATTTGGGCAACTTCACTTAGTTTTGACGTATCTGATTGCACTTTCATGATATAAATAACTATTGGTTTTACATAATTTTTTAATTTATCTATTGCGCTCCAGAACGATTCATCTAAAATTAACAATTTTGTTATAGGTTTTAAAACAGCTCTCGGTTCGATGGAGATTTGTTTTAAATTTTGTTTATTAAAATGTAGACTTTCTAAACATTGTAAAGACGAGCCCCACCGCGTTATGCCAAAAAGTTTTAGAGAAATTTGAGAAGATATTCCACTTTTTGGGTTTGTTTTGTTTTGTTTTTGAATTTCTAAAATTAGTGAGCTTAAAACATGGGATTTTTTTATCTCTTTTACTATCGATACAGCCGAATTAATAATTTTTTTAACATTCGGCTGTTCAAGTAAATCTTTAACTAAAAGATGTAAAACGTGTGCAAGACAGCCATAAAAAAAGATCGCTTTATTTTTGTACTCCTGTTCTAGTAGAGACCACGCTGCTTGCATTTTTTTCTCGTTGTCTTGCAAAA